GATAAGGATGATGATGGTGGTGAGGATGATGATGTAAGTGGATTTCATGTTTATTATGGGCAAATTATTATTGCAGTGGAGAGAATGATAAAAACATGCAATGAGTTTGCATTAAAAAAACTTTTTGAAGAAACTGAATATAATGTCTGTCTTTGGGTTAATTTATGTATTTCACTCCAAAGAATTTCAGATTCAGTGACAAGCTCTTTTCTACCATGAGTTAAGTCATCTCTGGGGCTGGCCAGTTAGCTCAGTTGGTTAGAGCATGGTGCCGATAATAACACCAAGATCCAGGGTTTGATCCCTCTCCCGGCCAGCCACCAAAAAAAACAACAGAACAAATCATCCCTGGCATAAAGTTCAAAAGAAAAAAGAGGAGGAAAGAGTAAGATATTTAGAGGCAACATGGTTAGAGACAACTCCATTTTATAAGGTTTTGCTACTCAGTGTTTCCTGTAGACCACAGCACCTGGGAAACTGGTAGAAGGCAGAATCTTCTGCCCCACTCCAGATCTACTGAATCAAAATCTACAGTTTAACAAAATCCCCAGGTGACCCATATGTACAATAAAGTTTAAGAAGCAGCAGTTGTAGTCCTAGATTAACGAGGCTATGTGGCAATGACATCAGTTGGAGAGAGTATTAAATCAGAGTCCTAGGAAAAACTGGAAAGACATTTATTTTGTGATGCTTGAGAGGTGGACAAATGATAGTATAAAAATGGATCTTGCATCTGAGAATTTGAATAGAATGAATGCGCTAAGACAGCTAGCAATGTAGAATTTGATAGAAAATAAGCTGAGATTCTATATTTCAATTCAGAAGACCTGAGGATGAATAACAATTTAGAAAGTTTAACAGGAAAAAAAGACCAAATGTAACAACTTTGTTTCTTATTACCTAGGTCTTGGTTTATCGTTGATTCTAAGTCTAAGGCAGACCTTTTGGAAAATTCAGACTACATTATTTCAGAAATAGATGAAGATGACCCAAGATTATTAGATGATAAGGAGGAGTTCATTGATCAGTAAGGAAAATATTTTTTAAAAACCAAGAGTTAATAGTCATAAGAAAGAAATATACTCAGTAGAAGGAGCCATTAGAAGTTTCAGAGTCAAATTTAAAAGTTTGTCCTTGAGTTTTAGTCATGTCCTATAGAAAATATTAGTCTGTAGAAAAATTCTATATGGATGTAGATTCTATATTTTTGGAAATTCTATATGTTAGTATATGATTAGTCAGCTAGAATTATTAATGACATTAGATTTCATTTGAACATAAAGAACAAATCTAGAAGACTTTTCTTATGAGCTGTAGTAATTGAGACAATCTAAAATATGTCTCTATTTTTTGCAGGCTAATTGGAAGGAGCCATTAGAAGTTTCAGAGTCAAATTTAAAAGTTTGTCCTTGAGTTTTAGTCATGTCCTATAGAAAATATTAGTCTGTAGAAAAATTCTATATGGATGTAGATTCTATATTTTGGAAATTCTTTATGAGAGTATATGATTAGTCAGCTAGAATTATTAATGACATTAGATTTCATTTGCACATAAAAAACAAATCTAGAAGACTTTTCTTATGAGCTGTAGTAATTGAGAAAATCTAAAATATGTCTCTATTTTTTGTAGGCTAATTGCAACCTGATCTGTGGTGATGAATATGGTCCAGAAACAAAGCTGAGCATGTCTCAGTTGAATGAAAAGGAAACTCCTTTTGAACTCATTGAAGCTCTGCTTAAGTACATTGAAACCCTTAATGTTCCTGGAGCTGTGTTGGTTTTTTTGCCTGGCTGGAATTTGATTTATACTATGCAGAAGCATTTGGAATTGAATCCACATTTTGGTATGTCTTTGAATTCTCATATATTTGAGAGTGAAAATGAATGTTTTTGTGTGCCCTTGTCAGTATATGAAAACAGAAAATTTAGAGTTGTCCCTATTATTGGATAAAAGTATGTGTAGTGGAGAGCAGTTTTAAACAAGCCCTATTTTTAGTCCTTAACCTTTCTGTATTATTACAGGAAGTCATCGTTATCAGATTCTGCCTCTGCATTCTCAGATTCCTCGAGAGGAGCAGCGCAAAGTATTTGATCCAGTACCAGTTGGAATAAGCAAGGTAAATATTAACTGTTACAATGATGAGGTTGTAAGTGACATGGCCTGCAAATGTTACCAGCCTTCAAAGAGCTACCAAAAAATTGTAACCCATCTCAATTGAGAAGAGAAAAAGGAATCTTTTCTTGCTGAACTTCATAAGTTTCTCATTATCCAGTTAAGGGGTGAGTAATTTTTTTAAGACTTCTGTAATTCTTTCGTCATTTGTTAAATAAGCAAGCAAATCAGTCCTTTCAAGTACGTAATAGGAAACTTTTCTGATATAATTTTTCTTATATCGTTTTTTCACAGGTTATTTTGTCCACAAATATTGCTGAAACAAGCATTACTATAAATGATGTTGTTTATGTCATTGATTCCTGCAAGTAAGTTCCCAGGGAACCTGTTTGACTGTCCCATTGTTACCAACTGGAAACTTGTTATCAGTTAACAGAATCAAAAACACCTTATTTTTAAACTCTGGTGTTCTGTACTTTCAAAATTATTGTCCATCTATAAATAGGTAATTGATAATTAAGAGTAATTGTTCATGTTTATCATATATATCATTTATCATGGTAGAAAGTGTCAAACTTTATTTTTCTTATATCGTTTTTTCACAGGTTATTTTGTCCACAAATATTGCTGAAACAAGCATTACTATAAATGATGTTGTTTATGTCATTGATTCCTGCAAGTAAGTTCCCAGGGAACCTGTTTGACTGTCCCATTGTTACCAACTGGAAACTTCTTATCAGTTAACAGAATCAAAAACACCTTATTTTTAAACTCTCGTGTTCTGTACTTTCAAAATTATTGTCCATCTATAAATAGGTAATTGATAATAAGAGTAATTGTTCATGTTGGTTATACATATCACTTATCATGGTAGAAAGTGACAAACCTTAACACTGTAACTTCTGACTGCTTCCTGCTGCTTTTGTCTGCTGGTGTTTTGCTTATTTTTCCCGTTGGGTGTTTCCATTGACCACTGCCACACAATGGCATGCTGTTTGTTGTGTAAGGATGACCAATACTTAGTACCTGACAGGTATCCTACCTGATGGACACTCCTTTAAGAATTCAGTGACTTTGTATTTGGTATGAGATGACCCTGGGAAATACACAGGGAGGTGTTGTATATAAAGTAATTATATGGAAATTGATACGCATAGAGGACAGCAAAGTTGAAATTTGGTTATATCTAACTGTGCCCCATGTCTTTTCTATGTAGTTCCTCAACCTGTCCTGGCAACTGAAAATAACTTGCCAATGCCCATTTTAGGGAATGGTGAATAGTATTCTATGCCGATGCCAGTCCTTTAGTAACAGCTGCCTGTGTGTGCAACACTGAAGGAATCTGAAGTTGCTTAGAGTTTCAAAAGGACCACACAGGCACTGCTTGATGAGGTGTGGTGTGACATCGTCCACAAATTCCGGTTCAGCATATAACCTTTAGATCATAGATATCCTAAAAATTACATTAAACTTTAGAGTAGAGATGGCTTGAATAATTATCACGCACTTACATGTATGTACCAGATCCTACGTAAATGCTTTATATTTACTAATTCACGTAAATGTTTATAAATACTCGTAAAAACCTGTAAGGTAGATAGTAGTAGTACACTAATTTTCAAATGAGGAAGATACGGCACAAAAAGGTTATTTAACTTGACCAAGGCAATCCAGCTCTTAAGTAGCACATGTATGTTGACAGCTAGGAGGGTGTAGAGTCAAATTGCTGATTCTTAATTGTGCCATTCACAAATAGACATGAAAGGTAGGTATGGAAAGTATCCACCACTNTACATTAAACTTTAGAATAGAGATGGCTTGAATAATTATCACGCACTTATGTACGCGATGTTTGTACCAGATCCTGCGTAAATGCTTTATATTTACTAATTCACGTAAATGTTTATAAATACTCGTAAAAACCTGTAAGGTAGATAGTAGTAGTACACTCATTTTCAAATGAGGAAGATACAGCACAAAAAGGTTATTTAACTTGGCCAAGGCAATCCAGCTCTTAAGTGGCACATGTATGTTGACAGCTAGGAGGGGGTAGAGTCAAATTGCTGATTCTTAATTGTGCCATTCACAAATAGACATGAAAGGTAGGTATGGAAAGTATCCACCACTAAGTGGATTTACTCGTGTAATAGTTATTGATTGTACATATGTTAACCGCTCTTTACTATTTAGACAGAAAGTGAAACTGTTCACTGCTCACAACAATATGACTAACTATGCTACAGTCTGGGCATCCAGAACAAACCTTGAGCAGCGGAAAGGGCGAGCTGGCCGTGTACGGCCTGGATTCTGCTTTCACCTCTGTAGTCGAGCTCGTTTTGAGAGGTAAGACCAATTCAATAAAAACTGAAGTTTTTTCTAACACTTTAAACGTCCTCACAATGTGCAGTCCCCCCAGCCCCCTAATACCCTGCTGTGAACTTAATGAACTCAGTGCATAAATACCTCTAGTTAAATATATTGGAGGGAGCTTAGCTTGGATAACAAGATTGTAATAAGAATGAAGAGAAATCAGAAGTTTTTGATGGTGCCGTGTTTGATACCATTTTACCTACTAAAAGTACATTATATGGACATTTTTTTGGTTCCACATAGCTTTGTCACTTTGGAATTACTGATATTTATAGAATGGTTAACTTCATGAAAAATGTAAGTTAAAATAACAATATCGTTGTATTTATAGACTATTTCTTTTTTTTCCTCCCCTGTGTTACCACTAACTTGTCTCATATAACCTTCATCATGTCCCTGGGAAGTAGAAGGCATTATTTGGATTAGGAAATTAAAGCTTAGAGAGTTTAGCTGATTTCCCCAAGACTGTACCAGAGCCAGGACTGAAATCCAAGTCTCTTAATTCTGTCCATTTCCATTTATACTACAGGGCCTTTTGGGGAATGTTTGTGGTTGGGACCTACTGATTAAAAATATTCTTATCTTTCTGAATTATAGATTTAAGATATATAAGTAATTATATGTTTCTGGACATCCACGTGGCATACGTCAGTAAAGTAACGTGGGATAGACTGATATAGGTGACCAGATATATAAAATATGCTGAAGAAAAAAATCAAAGATGCTTGGTAACATATGGCTCCTTGGCAGTTGTAAGTATAGATTTACTTGACCATCAGAAGTTAACTCAGGAGACTGGCTGTAACATTTGGAAGACATCTTGTTCTTTTTAAACAGCAGATTATCCCTTGAACTGAAGGAACAAGTACTTACTCTTTAACATCTTAGAGTAAAACCACCTGCTAGTTAGTAACGGCATGAATTGACCCTTATTAAGGGATTTTTGTATTTTTCTCTATAGGATGAGAAACAGATAGATGTTATGTGCATTTATGTTAGCCTGATTTAAGCTGATCTAAGTCTTGCGAGCAGTGTTTGGAAAAACATGTAAATGTTCCCCATGAATCTTTATCATGAATGGTTTATAGGGAACAAGCCTGAATTAGAAATGTAGAGACCTGAGTTTTCATAGTGTTTGTGCCTAATACAATTCATCATAAGTATTTACACTCATTAGGCCTCTGTTTCTCCCATTCTATAAAATGACATTAAGTTACTTAATCTGTTTTCTCACTTGTGAAAGGAAGATGGTAAATAATACCTAACCCAAAGGGTTGGTGTGAGAATTAAATAAGTCAATGTAGAATACTTAGAACAGTGCCTGGCACATAGTCGGCATGAATTGACCCTTATTAAGGGATTATTATATTTTTCTCTATAGGATGAGAAACAGATAGATGTTATGTGCATTTATGTTAGCCTGATTTAAGCTGATCTAAGTCTTGTGAGCAGTGTTTGGAAACACATGTAAATGTTCCCCATGAATCTTTATCATGAATGGTTTATAGGGAACAAGCCTGAATTAGAAATGTAGAGACCTGAGTTTTCATAGTGTTTGTGCCTAATACAATTCATCATAAGTATTTACACTCATTAGGCCTCTGTTTCTCCCATTCTATAAAATGACATTAAGTTACTTAACCTGTTTTCTCACTTGTGAAAGTAAGATGGTAAATAATACGTAACCCAAAGGGTTGGTGTGAGAATTAAATAAGTCAATGTAGAATACTTAGAACAGTGCCTGGCACATAGTAAGCTCTCAGTAAATGTTTGCTATTATAGTGTTAATTTATTATAATAACATATTATTAGAATTTTAAAGGGTTAGATTATCTGTAATATCTTTTCCAGTGGCACTAAAATTATATGGACTAGGAAGATGGGGGAGGTTGTGGAGGTTTTGTCTACCACAAAAAGTCTTATTACCATTTTTAACCTGTGTTTGTCAGCAGATGAGACCTGAAGAAGCCATAGGTGGGGGTAATAACATTAGGGACTTNAGTACTGCCCAAGCTGCTGGCAACAAGACTGTAGTCTAGTCTGAATGTAACTGTTTGTGTTTCAGTGTGGGAGATGCTGTCTGTACCATTTCTGCTGCTACCTGCTTTCCAGAGCCTTTCATCAGTGAAGGAAAGCGGCTGGGCTATGTCCATCGAAATTTTGCTGGAAACAGATTTTCTGATCATGTGGCCCTTTTGTCAGTATTTCAAGCCTGGGATGATGCTAGGTATGGGCTTGAAAGAGAATTATTGTGAGATTTGGGTGAACTGTCTCTAGTGTCTAGTTCTCTGGCCTGTGAGAATAACTCCTTATCATACCAATTTATTTTAGAATGGGTGGAGAAGAAGCAGAGATACGTTTTTGTGAGCACAAGAGACTCAATATGGCTACACTAAGAATGACTTGGGAAGCCAAAGTTCAGCTCAAAGAGATTCTGATTAATTCTGGATTTCCCGAAGGTAAGACTTTTCCCATTCTTTAGATAATATTTGAAGT